AATCAAAAAGAGTACAATATAGCAATTTTTACAAATATAACACTGCACCAGTATTTTTTCTTGTAGGTTATCTTGATTAATAAAAGAAGCTGATATAATTTTTGTAAGAAATTTAATACTGTATATAATTATCCCAATTTTGTTAAATAAGTATTTTAAATGAAAAAAATAAACTTGAGTAAACTATTAACTGTTATTTTCCATAAAAATAAATCGGAAGCTATTAAACTGAATGATTAGCAATGCTGTACGCTACATTAAATAATGATGAATTCTTAAACTTTTTGCTGTGATGCGTTACTTTTCCTACTCGACCACACAGATATTGTCATTTTTAGCATCTTTTCAAAGATTGCAATTTCAAAGATTGTAAAGCGCGATCAAATTATAAAATCCTTCTCAGTTATTATTGATGAAATTACTTTCAGTGGTTCCATGGAATGTTACGATAATTATCATTGCACGCGGATTTTGCCCTTTGAAACTTACTACTTCAGATAAAAACAAATTACGGCGCTTGGTGGCGCCATCTATGATATAAAACAGCACTCATAACTTTTTTTTAAAAAAAGCTACTATTCTCAGCTTCTGTCCCTAGACGGCGCCACAAGTTACGATTATATGCTCCAAAATTGACATGATTTGACATATGCAGGGGTGTTTGTGGGACCCCAAAAATTCCCCTGAAACTTTTACGGACTTACTACCGACATTTTGGGAGTTTCGAAGGGGGGGGGAGAGAATGAAAAATACAATTATGAAGTATTGAATGACCTAATTATAAAAGTTCAATGAATTAATTTTTTTTGCAAATTAATAACCATAAATTTTCAAACATATAACTACTACTTTTATGTAAATATTTTAAATTAACCTGAATTCATTCTTTAAAAAAATTATCTTTTCTGCTGCTTTTTTATTTTCTGATGTTTGTGGGGTTGTCTTTCTTTTTCTTTTGTGGTGACTTCATAATTGCAGGAGGAAGGTTGACTTTTATTGTTCCTCATTTACAGTTGAAGAAATTCCTCGAGCACTGCACATGCAGAGGTAGAAGCAGTTTGCTTTTCTGCTAATTAGAAGGTTTTTCAGAGACTTTTATAGGTGACTCATCTGAAATACATGGTTTTAAGTCCTCTTGATATGTTTTCTAACTTCTGTTCATATTCAGTAAGAGATCTTTGTGAATTGGATCAGTCATTGGATTTTTGAGCCATATTTTTCACATGAGGTTTCTTTAGAAGCCATTAAATCATATTTAATAGTCTGCACTGCATCTAGGGAATCAATCTTAGAGAGGTTCTATAGTCAGTGACAAGTGTATCCATTAAGTTGAAATGCACTTTCCACTAATGGGCCATGGAAGCAGCTAAGGCAGGCTTTGACCAATTTAGCCAATGTAGGATACTTATAATTATTTGTGAAATCATCTTTTAAATTAAAACTTTAGACCAATTTTATCAATTGTACACTTGACTTGATTTCCACTTTCATCAGATTGTGTAGAGCATTTTTTGGTGATATCAATATCACTCTGGTATAACCTTATTTCAGCTTCTACTTTTGACTTTTCATTATCACTAAAAAATATGGGACATAAAAGATGATAATTTTTCAAAAGCTAATATTGTACTGGTTTTACCTCTTAGCTCTGGATCTAATGCTGTAAAAACTAATTAGATATGAATTTTTAAGGGGTAATTTCTGTTTCATATGCTGTGCTGTATTAGTATAAGCTTTCATCAGAGAAATTTGGAATTCTTTTGCTATTGGATGATTTTTTGATAATTTCTTCAGGAGAGTGGAAGCTCTGCACCAGTAAATATTATTTTGCTAGGTAGATGGAAGTTCTGGATTTGGGACATCAACCTTTAATAAATCATTATAAGATGTGCACTCTATATACTCTATATTTTCTGGCTTCATAAAAAAAGAGAAAAATTTTGCCATCAATTTATAAATACTGGAATGTATTAAATGAAGCTTGTTTTTTTTTTTTTTTTTTTTTTTTTTTTTGTTTCAAATAATTTAATATATGTGTTGAACTCTGGTAATACTTGCTGAATATAATGCCATATGCAATAAAGTTTTGTTTTGCATAAAAATAACCATTTAGTATTCTTTTTTTTTCGAGCTAAAGCATCCTTCGTGGAGTTGTTGGGAATGCAAGCAGAATACACCCCCTTCAAAAACAATTTTTTTCTGAGCTGCAGACATATTTCTTTTATTGTATACAGTTTCAACATAAGAAAAATAATCCCCTTTATCAGTTTTATCCAAGTAGTGAAAATAAAATGCAATAAGAGCATCCAACAGATTTTTGTTCTTTCTAAAACACATAAAATGTACACCCACCTATGGTCTGGTCTCTTCAAGGGCTTAAGTTTTTTAATGGCAAGGGATTCACAGATTTTAAAAAAAATTTTCTCTTTTACTGCAGCTTTTCATATCAAAATAGATGTCATCAAACAAATCTTCTAAGTATCTATCAAAACAGGAAGCAAATTTTTTTGCACAGTTATTAGCTGTGTGACATGTGTCACCATCAATATCTAATAAGTGGGGTGCTTTGTTTGATCATAGTCTGGTTTCAAACACCCTTTTTTTTTTCCCACGCATGGTGTTACACGAGTCCATTAATACACTAATTAAGTTTGCCCATGGAATATTATTATCTTCAATAGTATTAAACAACTGCTTTTAAAAACAGCTTCTGAATTGCAAGACTCCATCTTTAGAGATGCAAAATGATGAACTACAACTTCATTTTGATTGTTGTCATAAAACTGCTGCACCAATATTGCCAGTATACTTTCTTGAGCATTGCTAGTACTTTCATCCAAATTTAGAGAAAATGGCGTCTCCTTTAAAGTTTTAATGATATTTTCCATAATAGTTTTTGCGAGCCCATATTTCATCTTATAACATGCAGTAGTCCTGGACATTTCCAACGAGTTTAGTGCCGTCTGATCGCGGCTCAACTGTTTGCAGAGTTCAATTAAATTGGGAGCTACATTGAAAGAAAGAGAATTCTCGGCGATAAACGAAGTTATTAATACCACTTGGCGTGCTTTTCTTGTCACTATATCCAATGGCCGAGCATCCAATTTAGAATGATTTATGAAAGCCTTGAATCCTTCCCCACCATACTTCAGCAGTGAGTTACAAAAAACACAATATGCTTGTCCAGCAACATTTATTTTCTTGCACCATGTGCCGATGGTATCCCCATTACCATCTCTCCGTTCAATCCAATTCCACCTAAATGCATTCCGGACACCTTCTTCTAATTGTATAATATCACTATTTATATCGAGAAATTTCATAGTGAAATTCTCTTGCGTACATAAATAAAAAAATATTTCAATAAACGAAACGAAAAATTTACACGTGCATCAATAAATGAAACGAAAATTTTACACAGCGAAGAAAAAAAAAGTTGAGAAGCGATCAATGACAAATAGCTAATACGGCGAAAAATCCCCCTTCTCTACTTATTGGCGCCACGCCAGGAGAGATAAGACCTTTGAACCCAGAGTCACGTGATCGCACATCTGGTCGAACGAAGTCTCTCTCTTTTTTTTCTGCCGCGCCTACTTGCCGAAAAGAATCCAGAAGAGAATGTCCGAGAACCGGGGGAATGAGTTATAACTGGCAATAAGGAAAGAACAAAAAAGAAGTTTTTCCCCCTTTTCACGCATTATCACTGCCTTTGGAGAAATAAAGGAAAAGTTTTCACCACACACACTGACCTTGCGTTTTCTGCTTTCAAAGCAAACAAAATTACCCAGATCAAAATAAATAATTCATTATTATTCCTACTTCCTTTTGAACGACGATCCCGAAGGGATCGAAGTTCAAAATCCCCGGAAATTCCGGGGTTTTCCCGGAGCACAAACACCCCTGCATATGTCCATCCGTCTTCAAGCGCAGAGACTTCCCAAATATTCAATCAGCTTTGAAACGTACAAAGCTTTGTTCAAATTCTGCACCTGTTTTAGCTGGCTTTCTTGGTAATTTTTATACAGAATCTATAAAGATACTGGAATTTAGGTAGTTAACTCTACTTCAGTAGAACACCTTTCTGAAAGACATTTCATTCGGCTGTCAAAATACAGATTGCAATTTCATATAGACCACTAATCAGTGCTTGGAAGCTAATTTTTGCCCTTATTTTTCCTGCGAACCTTTCCATACACTTTTTTTTTTAAGCACAATTCAAGCCCAAAAGGTTTGAAGCAAAGGTTTTTGCGTTGGTTCACTATAAACGTTTCACTTTTCAAATTGTTGTCACCAAATATTACAACCCTGCATTATATTTAAAGAAATTAAAAAATAAAGAATCTTCATGAATTTATGTATGCTTCTCACACTGTGAAAAAACAATGGTATCTACAGACATCAAATTTTGAATAACGTAGTCCTCCACTCGAATATGGACATCTGGAAGCCAAAATCTGGAATTGGAATTTGTTTTTTTAACTATTTCATAGTCTGCAAAACTTTAACGATTTCAAAGCAAACAATGGCAACAGTGTACGAAAAAAAAAAGCATTTTTACCTCCATCGCGCGGAACTGTATATCGGAAATTCTAAAGATCTGCTCATTTTAAAATTATTTAAGCGATATTGCTGTTGAATTTCATGGTTTCAAACGAAAAAATGAAATTTCAAATGAATTTCATGGGAAGAAACTGACATTTAATAAATAAAGGTAACACATGAAACGTTAAAAAATTGCCCATTTGGAGCGTAATATAAAATCTGAAAGATGAATATATACTGCCATAATAGATCCCACTATTTTCTCTATTATGTCTACAATGAATGGTAACTAGAAGAACCTTCTAGGAAAGACGTATCCCATAGCTGAAATATTCGAATATATTTTGTTTCTTATTTCTTGTTCAGTATTATATAATACGACTTATTTCTTTCTCTGCTGCACTTCAAAAGATCAATTTTCAAAATATGCAACTTTTAATATAATGGCGAATACTTACAATTTCTTGCCACATTTCTCCGTGTTAGTGACATGCGTAGCGAGACCAAAATCTCCTATCTTTACTTCCATTTCTTCAGATAGAAACATATTTCCAAGTTTCAAATCTCGATGGATGACTCCTTGAGAATGTGTGTACCGGACACCTTCCGCTAACTGCAGCATAAAATAGCGAACTTCCGGTTCAGTCAAATATTTTCTGTTTTTCAAAACATGAACCAATGACTAGGGGAAGAAAAATGAGAGAAAAAGAATATTACGTTAAATGTCAAAGGCTGATGGCAATCCACAGATCTAGAATTACATGATTTTATTTTGAAAAACTTTTGTGTTGGCAACAACCAGAACAAATAATGCTATTTTTAGTTCTGATTTTTAATTCTGGTGATATAATGCATTTCAAAATTACAAAACATGAATTTTCTAAACCTTAGAGAATTACAAGTTACTGAAATAATAAATCTTATTGACGAAACGATTCTGTATCGGAGTTCGTAATGTTAGAAACAGATCTTATTAATTACAATAATGTTGCAAACGATCATAAGAAACTTTTGGTTAGGTATAATATAAATTAACCGCATTTTAAATAATACCATATAGCTACGGAAATTTTATTGTATATATATATATTTCATATTATATCAATTCAACTAAAGCTTATTATTAATATTTATTAAAATTATGCTAGTTTTCATTAACTGTAGATTAGCATAAATTACACATATTTTACATTGTATCAATTTGATTTCAAGCCCTCTGTTAAATTTTGTTCCGTAATGCCATTTACAATTTAACCTCCTTCATTTCTGTTGGATTGGCAAGAAAGTAATTTTGGTTTCCACAAATAGATAACATTATGTTCGTTTTGTTATATTTCTATCAACCTTATATTTTTTCCCCTTCTTTGGAAGATTTGACAGCTGACATTTTTAGCTACAGAAACAAATTCCGTGTAATTTTGTTTACAACTGCTAATTTACAGTCACTTATAACATGAGATGAAAAATAAACATTTTCGGCATATTTTACTTTTTTATTTTCATAAAAGCAAGAAAACAGCCGAGACTCACAAAGAGATATGTGAAGTTATGGTGTTGATTGTTAACAGAGCGCATGTGTTTAAAAAATTTCGTTCTGGAAATTTTTCACTTGAAGATCACCAACACGCTAACCATCTTCTGAAGTTGATAATGACAAACTAAAGCCATTATTGAATCGAATCTTCATAGATGTGTGCGAAAGAGTGCAAAAAAGTTATATGTATATCGCACACAACAACTAAAAATCATGTAAAATGTCTTGGACTCGTTAAGAAGTTCGACATTTGGTTTCCGTAAGAACTGAAAAAAATTCACTACAAACAACAAATCAACATTTGCGATAACACATTTCAAACGTAATGCAATCAACTCTTTTTTTAAATGAATTATCACTGGTGTGTGTGGGGGGAATAGATAGTCTTCAATAACATCAATCGAAAAGATCATGGTCCAAGCATGATAAATCAGTACAAATCATCATACCGAAAGCTAAACTGCATCAGAAAAAGATCACGCTGTCAGTTTGGTGGGATAACAAAGGTGTTGTACAATATATTTTGAACTGCTTCCAAGCAACCAAACGATCAGCCCAGATGTTTATTGCCAACCACCATGATAATGGGAGGCCTTACAGATCTTAAGTAAAACGTGCGAAATTACTTTGAGCGTAGCTGGGAAGTGACTTCGCTTACCCCCCCCCACACACACACACACCATACAGCCGTGATCGTGCACCATCGGATTATCATTTACACTCATGTCCATAACTTAAGGATAATTCGGAGTCACGCGGAAATCGAACTCTAAAATAAATATACCACCTGTAAAATCACTACACACATCTTCAAGAATCATACGCAAATTTCAGGAAGTAACCAGATGACACCGATGGTACGTCACAATGACGAGAGTGTAAGAGAGTGATATATAAGGAATACAGGCAAGGAAGTAAAATTGTTCGCAGGCGCTTTATAAGCAATTCAGTGCAATAACCGAATACTTATGACATAAAGGACGCATTTGGATGATTTTTTACGTGGTAGAATTATCGACCGTCTGGAATGCGGGCGTACCCAACTGGAAGTAACAGACGAACTTGGAATTGCCCAGAGTGTCATCTCCAGGCTTTGGCAACGATTCCAAGATGATGGTAATGTGAGTAGACGTTACAGCACAGGTCGCCCCAGAGTTACAACGAACGCCGAATGAGGACCGGTATTTGGCAGTTACTGCCAAAAGAAACATTTGGAGCACAGCCTCAGACCTGTCTCGTCAGCTCTCTTCAGCCACTGGTACGACAATTTCAAGGCAGACCGTGTACAGACGTTTAAGGAAGATTGGTCTATATGCTCGTAGACCTGTCAGATGCGTTCCACATACTGCAACTCACTGTCGCCTGCGGTTAGCCTGGAGCAGAGAGCATGCATTGTGGACACCGCAACAGTGGGCTTGTGTGATGTTTTCCGACGAGTCCAGGTTTAGCTTGAAGTCTGATTCTCGCCGGACTTTCATATGGAGAGCTCCAGGTACCCGTTACCACCAAGAAAACATCATTGAACAACACCGTTACTGCGGTGCAGGAGTGCTCGTTTGGGGTGGAATTATTCTGGGTTCCAGAACTGACCTGCATGTTCAAATTGGAAACATGACAAGCCAAATCTATCGGGACGTCATTCTGGAACAACATGTACGTTTGTTTCGGGGCGCCATGGGCGCACAATTTGTGTTTATGGATGACAACGCCCGTCCTCACCGAGCAAACATCGTAAGCGAATGCCTTCAATCGGAGGATATCACCCGTATGGACTGGCCAGCATTCTCACCGGACTTGAATCCAGTAGAGCACGTGTGGGATATGCTTGGCCGTCAACCTCTTCCTACATATCTACCGGAATTTCGGAGAGCATTGCTTTTTGAGTGTTTTAATATCCCCCAAGATCAGATCGATAATTTGATACTCAGCATGCCTAGGCGTTGTACGGATTGTATTGCATCGTCTGGGAGACATACAATGTATTAACAATCATACCAACCATGCAATATCGGTATTTTGTAAATAGGTTTTTTTTGTAATTTGCTCCTGCGAGAAAAAATCGCTAATTTTTTTAATAATATCAAACATATAGCATCTTTTTTTTTTGCTCTTTACCTTTTGTTTAATAAATAAGCTTTACAAATAAGTCAAATTTGTTTAGCTTCTAACTCTTCCTTTGCCTGATTTTGCATTATCCTTAATTTATGGACATGAGTGTATTTCGAGGTTTACAAAATTTCTTAAATGGTTTACAAATAGCTTCAATAATAATGATGACCTCAAATTGCACTTGTTTTTTTTTTTTTTTTTTTTTTTTTTTTTTTTTTTTTTTTTTTTTTTTTTTTTTTTGATAAAGAACAGAAATTTTATGAGCGTGGAATCAGGAAGATTTTTTCAGCAATGGAAATAAAAGAATTCCCCCAATAAAAAAAATTTTACTTTTTCCAAATAGTAATATGTTTGATAATTAAGGCTAAAAAAATAATGACAAAGCTTGTTTTACCCAGTGCCGAACCAGTGCTTTCTATTCACTTTCTAAATGATTTAAAAAATTATTTAAGTACTAAAAGGAGATATAAATTTGGAAATTTTTTTTGCACGTAACATTATGAAATGTTTCTGAATGTAATTTTTAAAATACGATGACTATTTTACTAATTGGACTTTTTGATGTATGGAGGCCTATAAAAGGAAGATTTTATATTTATGAAGAATTTGAATTTACATAAAATGTTCTACAGTATTTTAAGAAGCTGTGTTACCGGAAGTACATATCTAAGATAAAAAATTCAAGGAAATAAACTCTGCAGCCATTTTCTGAAGTGAAATTTATATATCATCTATGAATTATTTTATCTTCCTGTACTGATGATCATATTTTTTGCTTGTGGGCGATTGTCTTCTTAGAATCAATGCTGGGAATTGAGTCTATTTCAGGTAATTTAATAATTAAATATTTGCATAAAAGAAAATGATTAATTTACACAACGTAGAGGGCTTCTGTCAAGCATCAAACGATTTTGATCATGTTTATATATACTGCCCTTTACTATTTCCTGAGTAAATTATTTTACTTTTAAAAAATTTAAATGTAAATCGATGGTCTTTTAACAATTAAATACATTTTATTTGGCAATTAATATTCTCTTATTAATGGAATTTAAACAATCAAATGTTCTTTTCTTAAAAATAATTAATTTATACAACCATTTTATCAAGCACCAAACGATTTTGGAGAGTTAATTATTTTACTTTTCAACAATTAAAATGTAAATTGTTCTTTTAGCAATTAAATATATTTGATTTCACAATTAATATTCTTTTAACAAACAAATTTAAACAAATAAATGTTCTTTTCTTAAGAAAATACAAAATATATATATTTATTTATTCAGAAATCAAGACGAAATTTCGTATAGTAAAAGGGGACAAATTTATGTATTTGTGCAATATGCTGGCAACAGTGAGATATTTCATAGAGGTAAACTGCACGCTCTGGTAACTTGTCAGTTACTATGGTAACAGAACAACGCAAGAACACATCACTGAGTAATAAAAATAAAGCAGCATAAAAGATTCACTAATGCAAATATTTCGGACAATAGCCTTTAGTCCTTCAAAAAGCTATTGACAGTCAAGACATAACAAGCAAAGCTGCTCCGCAAAATCCGCAGACGCACAGGTAAAACTAACAATTGAGGGGCACATCTGAGGCAGAAGAGTGGGGTGTGTTGTTGTTCGAGGAACAGCTTTCCAGCCTCCATCCAATCTAACATCTGCCGTTTTCCCCAAAAACGAGCCCTCAAAAAAAGTTTCATGAGGTCAGTCAAAACAAGTTGCGCGCCAGCTGCTTCATCCACCATTCAAAAAACTTCACCGACGCCCTCCCCCCAATATTGACCTTGAACTTTTAATGTCAGGAATAGGTCACAATTTCTTATTCTATATGGTAGTCTGCGTTTTCATTTATAGCCTTCAAGCTATAATTTAAAAGGCAGGTCTTAGGATCTACGAATATCGTTATCAAATCTCTCAGAAGATCGAAACTGCGGGAGCAAAAGATACGGAGGCCTTCCAAACATGTTTTGAATGAAAGTATTTAAAAAGGCGAGGGGCGGAGAAAGAAAAAAAAAAATGGAGTGGAATGT